AAAATAAAAAAAATAAAATAAAAAAAATAAAAGAAGACATTCTTCTAGAAACAAGGTTCCTTCTGGAATGGAAACCTCTGGTGTTCCACGACAAAGCACCCCATGCCCACGGAACCTGGCATCTCCCCAGGAGATAGCAGCCGTGGGATGCAGAGGCATTCAGTAGCCCCACAAGCATGGGCAGCAGAGTCTGCATCTTCCTTCACAGACCTCCAGGAGGCAGAGAGCTAGGCCAGCAAGCGGCTGGACTGCATGGGTGCTGGTGAGGGCCTGGCCTCTCGTTTCAGAGCTGCAGGTCTCCTCTGCTTGGGTGCTGATGCATCCTCCTCGGTTGTGTGTGCTGCTGAGGCTTGGGGAGCTCCACAGGAAGCCCGGAGTGCTGCGCCCAGAACGGACCTGGGTCACTGCCCCTCAGCGAGGGCCTGCCGGTGCTTTCCGCCCAACCTGCACGCTCACTTTGGGGAGAAGGCGCCACTGCTCTACAGCCCCTATCCCTCACCACAAACACAAATCCTGTTTACTGCTTGCTTCTCTTTCACATTCGGGGGTGAGTGTGGTGCGTGCCAGGGGGCGCTGTAACAGCCGGTGTCTGCAACCTCAGCAAGGTTGTGAACCTCGGTGGTGATCAAGTGTGGGGAGAGAAGACAAACACAAGAACCAAGATACTCAGCCCTGTGCGCTTAGATTTTTCTTTTTCTGTTTTACGTTTGTGTCAGGTGCTTTCTTTGCAGGTAACAAAACAAGCAGTTTATACCTAATAACCTTTTTATTTCTTAAGTCTAAAAGTAGGTGCAATCAGGATTGGATTGCCAGTTCAGTGATGCCTTCAAGAAAAAAGACTTTTCAGCTTTCCACTGACAGCTTTCAGCTGCAGGCTGTCCTCCTGCTCTGTTGGTTATCGATCACAAGAGGGCTACCACAGCCCCAGGCATCACATCTGCACAGGACGGGTGGGTGGGGGGTACCTAAAGGCCGTCCTGGAAGGAATCCTGTCCTATCTCCTGGGCCAACGTTGAGTTACACAGACTGGGTGCAAAGGGAGCAATTAGCACTCTGAGCTCTTCTAATAGGAGGTGAGCCAGCCTGAAGGAGGCTAGAAATTATTGTTGGGTTGGCATCCAGTGGTGGTGGTCACAGTGTTCATGAAGATTTAAAAATAAAACAGGCTGTACGCTACAGAGAACCGCACGATTAAGCTACTGTCCCTTAGCAGCTAGAAACACATCAGTAGGTGTCATTTACTTCCGGTATTAAGTGGATAATTTTCTCTTACTGTTGCCTTGACTCACCAGCCAAACTTTCAGTTACCTTTTTTTGTTAGTGTCGTGATTTTCTGGCACCCCACCACAGCCCTGGATTAGCTTGGATACTTGAGGGTAGGGAGTGCGCGTACACCGTGGGTATTGCTCCGAACTCCACACGCAGAGCTCACTCTCCCGGGCTTTGTCCAAGTGCGTTAGCCAGAAAGTACCATAACCGGGGTTCAGCTCCGTCTTGTTCAACAGAGCAGGAGGACAGCACCCGCCTGAGCTGGCCTCGGGGGCTGCAGGCTGCCTGAACCCCTGCACCTGGCCCTCCTCGCGGCCAGGGGGCCCCTATGGGAATTCCTCAGCTCACGGGGTGTGAGCATTATACCATCCCAAGAAAAGTGTCCCAGAAAACAATCTACACAGGGTTGGTGGTTTTTAGGAATAATTGTGGCTCAGCTAGTACCTTCGGGTTCATTTCAGCGGCAGAGACCTGGAGCCCACTGTGTTGTGTCGAGCAGTGTGACCTTTCCTGGATGCTAAGATTGCACGTGCGGTGTCTTCACACCCTCAGAGCAGGGGTGCCAGGGGAAGCTGTGACGCATGCGCAGTGGAAGGCAAGGGCCGGCACTTACAAACACAAAAATGCCCTTGCGTGAAGCCTGGTCGGTTTTTTCCTGAGTTTTCCCTGTCAATATATCTATGTCGTTCTGAATTGTGAGCACCAGTCAGTGCTAGCAGACAGGCAACTGAAAATCCCCAGTGTTTAGGACTCTTAGAGGAAAAGTTTTGGATTAAGAAATACGTATCTACTGACTTTCCTGCATGCTAATAAAACCATTGTTTTGTTTCAGCAGTGTGATACTGTGTCATGGTTGCAAAACACCCGTCTTCACAGGCAGATAATTTGACAACCACTAATAGGATGAGTCAGGAGCCCTGGGTGTAGCTCCCAGCTTCACCATTTGTTGCAGTCTTCAGAAAGCCACGGAGCTTTGCCAAGATTCTGTCTTAGTCATCTCTGGGTGCTATTACAGAATACTGTGGGCAGGGCAGCTTGAACAGCAACATTCACTTCTCACAGTCCTGGAGGCTGAGGTCAAGGCACTCATAGCGCTGCTGTCTGATAAAGAACAGCTTCCTGGTTTCCAGATCGCTGTGTGCTTGTGTGTCCTCCCCTGGGGCTGGGGTAGGGAAGTGAGAAGGTTCAGATTCTCCTGTCTGTCCTGCCAAGGGCACTAACTTAATCCTGAGGGGGTCCACCCTCACAAGCTAATCACCTCCTGAATACCCACTTCCTAATACCATAACATTGGGGGTTAGCACTTAAACAGAAGAATTTGGGGGGCCACAAGCATCCAGTTGATCACATTTCTAAATTAGTGAAGACAATGATAGTGAGAATACTTATGTAACACTTATTTGCTGCATCCCTGGCACAGTTCTGAAGTCTGCATATGCTCTTCTAATCTTCAGAAAACTATGAAATAAATTCCGTAATGATCTCTACAGAGAAGGGCATCGAGGCATTAGAAAATAGAACTTTGCGAGCACGTTCTAGGGTTGGTCGCAGACACTGGCTGTGGGGACAGCACGAGTGCAGGGCGCTTCCTGCGCCAGGAGCGAGGTGTTGATCAGCTGTGGAAAAGATGCCAGCATCAGCTGCCACATATGAAAGAGTAGTGTGCAAAAATTCTTCAGAGTACCACTACATGAAAGTCTGCCTAGAATTTCAAGATCAAGGCATTGGGCTAAGCGCTGCAGTGTTCAAACGGCTACTTATTTCTGCTCTGAAGGACCTGTTCGGGGAGGTTGGTGCTGCCTTACCCCTGGATGTCCTGACCTATGAAGAAAAGACCTCATCAGCCATCTTGAGAGTGTGTAGCCGTGGTATGGTCAAATTGTGGAGCTCCTTGACCCTGCTAGGATCCTACGAGGGCAAAAAGTGTGCTTTCAGAGTGACCCAGGTTTCTCTCTTTCTCCTTGCATTATCTGGTAATAGTAGGGATCTAGTACTGGATTGAATAGTCTTCAATTTCAGAAACTTTTCCACTGCTCCAGGAAGTACTTTCTGGTATGGAAAGAGCAGCAGGCTTAAAGACCCCACGGATGCAATTTGAAGATGTTGAAGGTGCTCCCAGTGAGGCCCAGCCAGCAGCTTTGGTGGGGGCGACTGGAGAGGATGTTCTGCATGAGCTCACCAGCACCGAACACACAGCGCTCGGAGCACGCGCCTGTGAGAGTTGGAGACCGGGCGCAGCTCAGCAGGGCCTTCACGCAGAGCGACATGGCTGCCTTCTCAGAGCTGACTGGCGATATCAATTCCTTGCATTTAAGTGAAGATTTTGCAAAACACACCAAGTTTGGAAAGATAGTTGTACATGGAGTTTTGATCAGTGGACTGATCTCTGCTCTCTTGGGTACTAAAATGCCAGGGCCAGGTTGCATGTTTCTTTCTCAGGAAATTAACTTTCCGGCTCCTTTATATATCAGAGAAGTTGTTTTGGCTTCTGCAGAAGTGAAAAGGCTGACGCGTTTTGTTGCCTTTATCGAAGTGTCCTGTTTGGTAATAAAGAGTAAAAAGACTGTTATGGAGGGCCAGGTTAAAGTCATCTCCCAGAAGCTTCCAAATCCTGAAATGTGTGTTGCAAGTTCCTACACTGGTACTGTGGTTACTAAAGAAGCACCTGAGGAAGTGGGCTGCTGCTGTCACTGAGATGTGGCTGATAGGCCAGAAGTCGCATGTGAGCGAAGGGGAGCGGGGTGGGGTGGGTGTGTTCAAATACCTACTTTCCAGTTTGGCTTGAGCTTCACCCGGACTTGAGTACTTGGAGGATTTCATCCTCAAGCTAGTTCAGTTTGCATTTACTAGCGTCTCCCTACATCTGTATGGAGTTTCCTCACTGAATGTGTAACTCTCAAGTACTTAAGGACTGAAGGAAACAAGGAAGTTGAGTTGTCTTTGAGCACCCACCCATTACCAGTAAGTATTCTGAGATCCTTTTCTCACCTCCTTCAGGGGCAGGGCTTACTGTGACTTGTTACTGTTTACACCAAGGTGGCATCCTGCGCAGCCTTCTCTGGGAGTTGCCTTTCAGGCGGTTTTTGTGTTGTCAGAGCGGAGCATATAAGCATGCTTCGACTCAGTTCTATAGACTGGTCTGTAAAGTGATGGCAACATACGGGACAGGGTAGTTGTTGAAAATGATAGGCAAGGATTTAAGCACCAAAGTTGGCCTGTAAACCTTTGTTACTGTTGTCCATCCCTGTGTGGCTGAGGTTGGAGATTTTCCAGAACTTAAAGCTGGTTGGGGCTGGAAAAATAGCTCAGCAGCATAAGCACCTGCCTGGCAAGTGCAAGGTCCTGAGTTCAATCCCCAGTACCAGGAGGAAAGAAACACCATTCTGTGTAAATCTGGCTGATCTGTTAAACACGTAATAGGCCAGTGTTCAGGTTGTCTATTAGAATTTTAAACCTAGAGTAGAATCTTACGTACAGTTTCTGAAAGATCCATATTCTTTTCTATCTCCCTTGAAAATGTGGGGCCACATCACATCATATAAACATCTGCCTAGACCAAGCGTTAAACCCCTAAGAGAGGGGCCAGGGAGATAGCTCAGTGGCAAAAGTGCCTGCCTGGCAAGCGCAAGGTCCTGAGTTTGATCCCGGGTATATAAATAAATAAATAAATTTTCTTAAAAATAAAGAAAATAGAACTTTCCAAGGGTACCCGGCGTAGTGACTCCAGATTCCCATTCAAGCATTCTGTCTCCAGGGAATAGATACCCCAGCTGGCTGATCGCACTTGGTAAGGGTCCACCAAGGTCAAATATGGAAACATTTTGTAAGTGATAAAACCCTACATAGATGCATAGAAAGAAGTAGTCTGTGTGCAGTAAGTGAAATCATTCACTAGGAATTCCTAGTAATTCTATCTGCGCAGCCACCAAACAAGCACCTTCCCCTTAGTGTGCCCCCTGCAGCCACCCTAGAGTAAAATTTACTGAGAAAAATACAGGATCCTAGCAAAAGGGAGAAAAAAAACCACCTCTTCTTGGAATAGCTAGAGTACAGACTGCAATAGCTACTGGGAAAATACAGATGGTACCTAGAGGTTCTGATCAGCTTCTGGTTGTTTGTTCCTGCTACTTGATTCCAAGCTACCCACCGGGTCCTTGGGAACATTCATATCATAACTGAGTTCTGCGTTTTATTCATACAAAGCTCACTTGCTTTCAGCCTGCCCCAAGGCCCACAGACACCCTAAAGAAACGCTTTTCTCAAGCAAAGCAGTGCCTCAGGTTTGAGAAGGCAGGAGAGAGCAGGGACACCTTTGCAGGGTCCACCATCCTTATACCCCAATCTCTGTGTTAAAATGTTTGTATTTGTCACTTTCTGGTGGTGACGAAGATGATGGTGATGGTGATGATGATGATGGTGATGGTGATGATGATGATGATGATGATGATTGTGTGGAATCAGAATACGCCAGATCCATAGAGACAGGAAGTAGATTCGCAATTTCCAAAGAGCGGTGAACTTGGAGGGAAGTGGGAAGTAACTGCTAATGGCACAGTGTTTGCCTTTGCGATGATGAAGCTCAAAAAAACATTACCGTGATCGTCACACATCATGATGGGGACGCTAAAAACCATCGATGGCACACTCTCAAGGTGTAAATGACATACTGAATTATATCCAAGTAAAACCGGCCATGTCCATTAATTGTGATAAGTCAGCTTGACTGGAGTAAGAACGACCCAGCAGATTAGTATGGCTCTGGGTGTGTCCCCAGAGGGTTGCCATACAGGCCACGAACTCAGGTGGGGAAACCCTTCCCAGATGTGGGTGAAAAGCCAGTCGGCTGCTTGTCTGGACAGAATAAAAAGGGAAACAAAGAAACTTGCCCTTTTTTCTTTGAGAGAGCTCCCCTCTGTACCACTGCCCTTGGACGTGCACCTCCAGCTCCTTTAGGCTTCCGGCATGGACTCCAGTCTCCCAGCCCAACTCGTGCTGGACTCTTCAGTGGGCTCTGTTCTTCCATCTTTGCTGCACAGATGGCCCTTTTGCATCCTTCCACTTCTGCTTGGCAGACGGTCATGGAGACTCACGCTTACAACTCCATAAGCCTCCCCAGTCAATCATTCATAGAATATATATATATATATATATATATATATATATATATATAACATTAAATTGGTTCCTCTAGTGAACCCTAACTAATACATTGACATAAAATTACAAGTTTGGAAGGCAACCCATTTCTTTAAAAAGAAAGAATGAATACTGAAAGGAACCTCAGAAATCAGCTACCCATTCATACGTTCATCCTAAAGATGAAGAACTAAAGCCAGACTTTTGCGCTTGAGTGTGGGGATCACATCTCTTGCTACTGGGCGACCTGTCACCTGCTGGTGTGCATCTTCAGCTGCAGGTAAGACAGAAACCAGACTCAGACTGGCCCTCTGCCACATCTCCATTGCTGGTGACCCTCACCATTGTCTCCAAAGGGCAGGATCCCCACTCGGGCACCCAAGGTATCACCTGTAGGCTGAGAGCTCTTTTGCTTCATTTCTGTAGACATCACAGATTGGCTCAGTGCAGCTTGCTTAGCGTCAGCATCTCTAGCCTTGGATCCCAGCAGATCTCAGCGCCTCTGTGTGAGCAGCCCTCCCTGCCGTGGAGCCAGCAGCCACCAGCAAGCCCAGGAGCCCTTCGAGCTGCAGGACTTGGCCCATCTGTCTCCTCTCACTGCTGACCACCTTCAGTGTTACCCCCTCCAGCTGCTGGCCACTGTCAGCATCTACGCACACCCTCTGCTGTCACCACTCTTAGTGACCTTGCTCAGTACATTCTGCTTGGGACAGAAATCATGACACATGCCAGCAGAGGAGGTTGTGTTAGGACTCACTGCAGCATAATAGGTGACAACACAGGGCCAGACTCACTGAGGGTGTGGGCAGCCTGCTTCTTTAGGGAAGAAAGGAGGGTTCCCATGTGGTGTTCAGATTTGGGGTTGGTTTGGGGTAGGGGAAGGGCCCCCCACAGCCCTAACTAAGGTGGCCCCAATGAGACAGAATCACCCAGAGAGGCTCCAGGGCGGACATTTGGGAAATTTCAAGCAAATGTCCCCAAAATTGCCCATGGCCAGGTGCAGAAGAGAAAGTATCCCTCTTTTTTTTTTTTTTTTTTTTTTTTACCAGGGAT